TTTTCCACAAGGGGTTAGCCCATTACATTAGAGATCTAATAAATACAACTTTACCCCCTACAATAATGTCTACCCTGTTTGGCCTTACAAAAAAAAATGTCACCTGCAATCACGTCTACGCTTTTTAGTCTTCTTTATCTTTATATTAGAGTTCCCATTTTAAACATTATGTGTTGATTTTATTGATTACTAGTTGAAATCTTTTTGTTTTGTTTTTCCCGAAAGCATTGCGAAGGGTTCTTCCGGAAAATCCTTTGAACACTGACACTTCGACACTTACACTTACACACTGACACTTCCACTACAGTCGCACTACATACACTGACACTTCGACATTGACACTTACACATACACACTGACACGCGGCAAGCGTGCAATGAGTAGGCAAGTGTGAGTATGGAAAACTAGCACGGGAGATGTCCTAATGAAAAAACATCCCCACTTTATAAATTCTCTCTTAAAGGCGGAGGGCGGGACGAACAGCGTCAACCGAAAGTGCAACCCTCTGCGGAGATCGTGCGTGTCGAATGCGCGAAATGCAGGCGAGAGTGCGATTTGCCGGCTGCGCGCGCAACCCTCTGCGGAGATCGTGCGTGTCGAGTGCGCGAAATGCAGGCGAGAGTGCGATTTGCCGGCTGCGCGCGCAACCCTCTGCGGAGATCGTGCGTGTCGAGTGCGCGAAATGCAGGCGAGAGTGCGATGTGCCGGGTGCCCGCGCAACCCTCTGCGGAGATCGTGCGTGTCGAGTGCGCGAAATGCAGGCGAGAGCGCGATTTGCCGGCTGCGCGCGCAACCCTCTGCGGAGATCGTGCGTGTCGAGTGCGCGAAATGCAGGCGAGAGCGCGATTCGCCAGCTGCGCGCGCAACCCTCTGCGGAGATCGTGCGTGTCGAGTGCGCGAAATGCAGGCGAGAGTGCGATTTGCCGGCTGTGCGCGCAACCCTCTGCGGAGATCGTGCGTGTTGAGTGCGCGAAATGCAGGCGAGAGTGCGATTTGCTGGCTGTGCGCGCAACCCTCTGCGGAGATCGTTTGCCGGCTGCGCGCGCAACCCTCTGCGGAGATCATGCGTGTCGAGTGCGCGAAATGCAGGCGAGAGCGCGATTTGCCGGCTGTGCGCGCAACCCTCTGCGGAGATCGTGCGTGTCGAGTGCGCGAAATGCAGGCGAGAGTGCGAGTTGCCGGCTGTGCGCGCAACCCTCTGCGGAGATCGGGCGTGTCGAGTGCGCGAAATGCAGGCGAGAGTGCGATTTGCTGGCTATGCGCGCAACCCTCTGCTGAGATCGTGCGTGTCGATAGCCACGCAAAGACTTTGGCTGACAACAGGCAGTGGAAGCCAGCTTGCTGGCTGCCATTGTCCAGATGGAAAGCCAGCACGTTGGCTACCATCATAGTTGAAGTGGGTAAGCCAGCACGCTGGCTGCCATCATAGTTGAAGTGGGGAAGCCAGCACGTTGGCTACCATCATGGTTGAAGTGGGTAAGCCTGCACGCTGGCTGCCATCATAGTTGAAGTGGGTAAGCCAGCACGCTGGCTGCCATTGTCCAGATGGCAAAGCCAGCACGCTGGCTGCCATCATAGTTGAAGTGGGTACGAGCCAGCACGCTGGCTACCATCATAGTTGAAGTGGGTAAGCTAGCACGCTGGCTGCCATCATAGTTGAAGTGGGTAAGCCAGCACGCTGGCTGCCATTGTCCCCTTACCAGCAGCCCAAATGCTCGCGACGATGAGCTGGGCTGTCACCGCTTGGCCGCCGGTGGGGGGTTTGGGAGGCCGCATCACACACAGACACCCACACACTCCCTCAACTTACACGAACACACACACATACGCAGACTCATTTCCACACGGACATAGACACACGCACAGAAACCCACACACTACCTCAACTCACTCGACTTCACACTTCTCACTGCACACTTACCGGATAACTCGCACTCTGACTTCCTACGTGATGAAAAATGCTTTCGGGCCACTCGTCGTCTAGTTTTTTTGATATCCTCTTAATTCCTTTTGAACTTCTTTGACTTCGCTTTCCGCTCTTTAGTTGACGTCTTTTTAACACCGTTTTTAAGTCTTGTCAAACGTATTGCAAAAATATTCCACACAAGGGGTAGCCCAGTACAGCAAAGCAGCTGACAAGCAGGAAAAGGTAGAAGAGCTGGGAAGTATGAAAAGTGGAAGAGCTGAAAAGCAGGAATGCAGGGAAAGGTAGAAGAGCTGAAAATCAGGAAAAGGTAGATCATGGGGGTGAGCATATATATATATATAAATATTCATATATATATATATTCATATATATATATATATGTACATACACTGTATATACTTATCATCTGAGGTCTCAGGCCGTTTCCTTTTTGGTGAGTTGACATAATATATACATTCTACAGTATACACATATGCTTCTTATACATACTATCGAGGGGTCTTCAAGTGTTCACCAAGTACAGGATCTGACCTCTTCCAATCTCAGGCCTCGCGACCGGCGGACGCCCCCAATGGTACCTGCCGGCAGAGAACACCCAGGGCCCAGCGTTGGCAGACTATATTTGGGCAGAAGCCTAGGCTGGGTCAACAAGGTCGACTAAAGTCAGGGACGGTCTCTCAGAGTTTGGGACAAAATATGACCATGTGCATCCATGTGCCATGTTTGTTCTTTTGCAGCTTCGGATTGTGTGATGGATCTTGGGATCGGTCATGAGATTCCACAACTTTTGTTAAGAGAACCTCGGAGGTGTTTTGATCTCTGTGTTTTTGTATGAGTTTGGGGGCGGGATTGGGTGACTTAAGAGGCGTTTTGGATTTTGACTGCGGGTGCCAAGAGTCATACTTCCATGATTGGGTAAGCGATGGGATCCTTTGAGCTCCATAAGGGGCGATCATCCTTTCCAAGATTTGCCGTCCCTTAGTTCTCCAGTCTTCACACTCTTAACCAGGGTTCGCTAGCTTTGCAAGATTTCCTTGTTCGAGGAGCCCCCTGAGGCCCTCAAAGGTTATACCCAAAACGTGGAGCCCTCTTTCTCCGCAAAATGCCAGTGGCTTTCACGACTTTGCCATGCCATGAAACCACTCCAGTCGAGGGTTCAAACTTGCCTGGGCGGTTGCAACTCGAAGCTTTCGGACAGCCAGCAACCTATCGACTGGATCGACTGCAGTCAGGTTTTCATGAAGGTTGGAGCGGAATGATGAATTATAACCTTGCTTCACTACAGCCAGATCCTTGCTTCGCAGGTCTTGATGTGCGTGGCAGAAACTCACGCAGAATTGTGTCTGAATGAGCGAGGTGTCCTCTGCAGTGGTGTTCACAACAGACCTGGGTATGGTCAATATGAGGGGGCCCCAAGTGGATAATGCTTTGAAGATCTAATTTTCAATTCGAGTTTGCCCAAACTAGGGATCCACACAGCACAACCATATGGTTGTTTCTTGTTAAATTCCACACAGCCGAGTTGTCTTGAAGACTTAAGCTTGCCAAAACAACACGAAGCTTGAGCATGCTCGAACGCCATAGATTTGTAGAATTCATCGTTCCATTTTCAGGTTCCACACTCTTGTTTATTGATGTTTATTGTATAGTTCTTTCGTTTATTTGTATTTGATTCCACCACCTCTGGCTGTTTGCTGGGCCAAGGAGGATCGAAACCGGCAACCCTTAATTCCATCTATTTGCGTTGCCACGCCGACCAAACACCTTTGATTCAGTTACCGTTTGTTGTTGGTGGGGTTACAGACGCAATTTTTCCAAGTAGGTTTGACAGTCAAGACGAAGCAAGATTGTTTGCACTCGACACCGCAATATTCACCAATGACTCGACAAATTATTCACAAGCAGCCTGACACACAGGTGGTCCGTGCTCAAATAAGGCTCAACAGAGGATACTTTGCAAGGAGATTCCGCAACGAAACTGGTCAAAACAGGGAGTAGATCAGGTGGACAAGAATCACAAGGTAAATCATATCCACAAGTCCACCAGTAAGTTCCCTGTTTTAATCGATCTCTAAACTTGTAATTCCACGGCAGATTGTGATACATCCGTCGCGGAACTTGGATGTGTACAGTGTTACGAAGCACATTTTCGAGCCGCCAACAGAGAGCGTGCATCGTGCAGCCAGGAGACACCGAAGTCACAAAACTTTGTGTCAAACAACTGTGGTAGGGCCATCCCGTTGACTCTGAAAGAGAGAGAGAGAGAGAGGCCGATTCTGAGTGTATAGGTCATTACAAGTGTGGGCGACATCTGTGTGAGGTTTTTCATGTCTTTCTTGATCCATGTATCCCATAAACCAAAGGCACTGAAGTGGAACCAGGGGTCGCGTTGTGTCGCGGGACTTTCAAATCTTTGCAGAGCCTCAGACAGTCCAAAGGAATAGTTATGCATCAGCTGAATTTGGAATTGTCAGGGATCTCCAACACCAATAAATATTGAAACATATTGACAATAGGAACCTATTATCCTCCAATACACTACCATAGGTGTGGATCAAAACATATCAAAACCAACCCTGTGACCCAGAAGCACTTGTGCGACTGTCTGAGCGCCGCCACCATGCCAATTGTCTTCGCATAAGTGATTGTTTCTAGAAATGGGACAAATAGGTGTGGACGAAGTGAACGAGCGCAATTTTCCCGAAGATAGATGGGTCTTAAATGGATGAGTCATTCATGACAGGTTCCCAAAGGACCTGGAGCCTCCTGCCATGGCGGTCTTCAGCCCCAGACAGACCACACGGACCGGTGACTTCAGGATTGAAGTGGATCCAACACCCTTTCCGCAGTGGATGGTGAGTGTGCGATGGCCCAGGGGAGTTGAGCATTTTACTTTGACGGAGGTTTCCAGAACATGAGAGGCATGTTGAACAATGCGGTCTATTTTTCACATAGAACTTGACTGACCAGTCTGAGTAGAGGAGAATCGTCTTCTCCTAACTAACCACCTCTGGCAGTTTCAGTGTTGGTCTAGCGGTCAGCTTGCCCTCCGCTCCGGTGTTGTCGCGCTGAGATGATGCACGCCATCATGCCTATCTGCGGCTTCAGAGATCCTCATTGTTGGCCGAACTCCTGCAATCTCAACCTCTACGAGGACCGACTTGCAGCATTTGCCGAATTGGAAGCTGTCCCGGAGGGAAGGTCAACCGATCAGGCACACAACAAGGTACTGTAGTGGTTGTACATTCATGCAGGAACCAACCTTGGCTTGCGATTGAGCAACATGCGGCGTATTATTTGAGCTCTCAAGAACATTGCAACCAAACACTTTAAACCTACCATCTCAAACACCATCGAACCTTCACATCTGTCCAATTCCTAAACGGGGCGGCACAGCACATAACCAATTTGAGTATGACTTGGATCAAGCACCATCCCCAGAATGAAAGAAGAACAAGCGAGAACCAGTATGAACAATGACAATTTCTGTCATGCTCTGATATGTTGTAAGCATGTTCCGATGCTTGAGCATTTTGTGCAATTGATTTAGGATGGCGGCATGTCTGTGGGTTGGCACTCGGATGATGAGAGCCTCTTCCAAGGAAAGCTGGTGCCTGGACTCGAGAGGGGTCAGTAGACAAGCCTGCTTGCCAGCACATGTCTGGGCTTCAGAATGAAGGCATTTGTTCACACAGAGAAGCAAGTTTCCCTAAAAACCTAGGAACCAAATCATTAGCGTAAGCTATCCTGCGTCCAGTTACTAGAAGCTAACTAGTCGCCCTTACTTAATTAAGTAAGGGCGGGCTACAAAAAGGGAGAAAGAGAGAAAGAGAGAGAGAGATATTGAGCGAGAGAGCGACCGGAAACAGTGGATTCCTGGAACTCATCAGAGCATTGCTCAGCATTCTGCGGGCTTCATGCTTCTATTATTGTCATCCTCCCACAGATTGACCAACTCCTAAAGCCCCTAACGAGGGGAACGTTTGGCACCACTTTTTATGCTTGTTCACGAGGTGGATTGACAAATGTTGAGGTGAAAGCATCCCAGGTGGAGGGTTTTGGCCACTCATCCCACGGAGTTTCAATACCGATCAGAGTCTGATCGGGGCCTTGAGATCCAACCGGGACCTCGTCGGGCGCATAGGGATCCAGCTGAAGGGTCAAATTCCAAGCTCCAGCCACGTGGCACCTCAGTGACCAGAAAGGTCACTGAACAAGGTCACTTGAGAATCCCCAAAAAGGTCACTCAGAAGTGAAGGTGCAGTGCATGAAGGTGCCATGGGATCGTGGGTTCGCAAGAAGTCAGGCGATTGTGCTTTTTGTGTCAAAAATGGTGCCAGTCTGATGGTGTTGAGGTCGACATCCGGATTCTCTCCCTGTCACTGGGTGCGAGGCAGAGGGGGTATGTCTACCTGGAGATGTCGGATTTTGATTTGAAAGTGTTCTGCAATTAGAGAGTGAAGATGAATGAAAGAAGTATATAGACGGACAACTCGGAACAGGTGGTCTTCTTTGTGTTGTCTAGACCTTGCACATCAATCAGCAAGGCGGAAGTTTGAGCTGCGGGCGAACTGGCCGGAGGAGGCAGAGTCGACTCAGCCAAAGAGTGTGATGCTGAGTGCGGCCCTGAGAATCTGGCGCGACTTTTTTGGGAGTTGAAGGCGGTCTGTTTTAAGACCATAAGTGATCTTCCATGCTAAAACGGGACATGCTGCACGCAATGACGGTTTCTTTTCACTGCGCACGCAATGGTCGTGCTTCCAGGTGATGGAGATATGATGACGATGGAAGGCATGACTCAGAAGCACTTTCAGCATCGAGTTCCCAAAGAGGCGCTCGTGTTACGTCAGAGGACAAGTGATGGAAGTAGTCTATCTTTTCTGGAAACCAGGAGAGAAAGAGAGAGAGAGAGAGAGAGAGAGTGGGAAACGCAAAGCAAGAAGATCCTCCTCATGAAACACGTAGATTTGCTTGCATACTAATTGTGTAAACAAAGAGATATTCTCCAAGTCTTTTGGGTGGCGCGGAAGAAGGACCATGAAGAGAATGTCCATTTGGGTCAACAACAGATTCATGAATAGGAGATCAATGCCCCAGAATGTCCGTTGTTCGGACTGTACCTTGGGACACGAACGTCCCTTTCCTGCTCTTTCCTTCCCTCCTTTCCCTCTTCTCTTTTGGACGGAGCACCTTTTGAGGGCCACGTGGATGGGCCACGCATCAATCTGACCTGGAGATGGACGGCCCACGACCCAGTCGCACCGAAAGCAGGAGGGTCCCAGAAAGCATCCCTCCCACGATGCCAGATGAGCACATTCGCCGCAAATCAGCGTTTCTGGGTGAGCGCAGAAAAATCAATCCTATGACGACGGCTAAAGTAAGATCCGAAACAAGCACTCAAGGACTGGGACTGAAGCGGATTCAGTTGGTTCGCCCGAACACCGTGGAGTTGACATGCATCACTAATTTAATCTATTATATATTATCTATATAGTTGCTAATTTAGCAATTACTTTGAGTGGCTCTACTGCTGGACAAGTTCTGTTGCACAAGCTTGGGGCCGTAGGTATCCAGTACTTTCAGACTCCAGTGCGTTTATTACTTTTGTAAACACTTGCTGAATATGACTGTTCATAGACAGTGAGGCTCCAGTGCTGTTTCTCCCCAGCAACGAAGCTTTACGGGTCTTCAGCCATAGCATAGACTTCGGATCAGGTTCCGAAGCAGGTTCTGGAGTCTGGGGGCAGGTTCCGTAGCACGTTCTGGAGGAGGTTCTGGAGCAGGAGCAGGTGCCGGGGCAGGTGCCGGAGCAGGTTCCGGAGGAGGTTCCCGAGCAGGTTCCGGAGGAAGGTTCCGGAGCACTTTTGTGACATTTTTTGTACTTGCTTTTTCGAAGATCAGATGACGTTCCGCAATTGCTGCAATGAGTGCGGTGATGTTGGTGGGCTTTGTGGAAACTTTGGTCGTGCGCCCGCTGTGAAAAGTAGGCCACGCAGCTATGCATCAGCATGAAGCTTGATGGTTTGTGACAAGAACGCACAGCATGTTTCTAGCTGTTGGGGACTTTCCTTGGGCTTACTTTGCAAATTTTTGCTAAATATCGCTTCCCATACCCTCATTTTGTTGACCCAAATGGGTCTTGACTCTTGACATTTCACAGCTGAGGTGCGGCACACGCCCAGGTGTCCTTGCAGGCGGGACAGTGGGACTGATCGTGGTGAAGTCTCTCTGGGTGAGCTGATGAAGAACCAACCTCAATGTCAATGTATACCGGGATCTCAAAATCACTGATTGTCCCGAGACCATTCAGTGTTGAGAAGGACAATGGAGACGAATTTCAACATTAATTTGGAGATAGATATCATCTGAACTAGGATGATACATTTTTACGTAGAACTCAAGATGCTCAAACGGAGCTGAAGGACCCCCTAAGCCGAGACGGTGCGTGGGAGGACATGGGCCAGGTTTCTGAGTCACGTTCGTCTGTAGTGATTTATCCCTGTGGTCATTCTTGGCAGACCAGTTTGGGTCCCAGGCTGAACGTCCCAGGTGGCCATTCTTCCGTCCCGTGTTGTGCCGAACCGTGCAGGGGGAGGCGATGAGCTCCAGGCGAGTTTCGGGAGTTTGATCATATGTACGATCAAACGATCTCAGCATCTAGCATCTGGATCAGTTGGATTTGTGGGAGGGTTGTAGAAACATTTGGCATATATATATATATATGCACAGGATTTCGCTGCTTCATAGGTTCTTGTGATAATTCTTTTTGGTTTGTGGTAGGTGTTATGCACTCCACGCTAGAGTGAGGCATCCATGACTCTGGTCATGACCAGGATTGAAGTGGCCTGCAGTTTTGTCATCCATGATATTGTCCCCTCAAAAGGAACGCCCTGACCCCGAGAGGAATTTCAGTGATACGCGCCAGCGCGTTTTTTTCTGTATATCGTTGATGCACCAGATAGAATATGAAATAATTCCCAAAAGCAACTGCAGCTGAACCCAAGCACAAGCCTTAGGAGGAGAGCGCGAAGATCCTTGTTTCTGAAGTCTTGCACCGAGTAACATGCATGTGGGGGAAAAAATGTGTGCTGAGATGGGAGGCTGGGTTTCTGTTGAATTGCCTTTTCAAAACAAATCATTCTGATGCAGATAGAATATATTAGCAGGAGGGTGAAGCAGGGAGGGAGGGAGGAGGGAGGGAGGGTTGAAGACCAGCATTGCTGGCCACATATTAGGTTATATACGGATGTGTTTCTTGCTTGTTTGAGCCAGCAATGCTGGCTGTATGCACTCTTTATGTTAAATCCGCGTGTTATTGCAATGACACAAGCGGTATCATATGATTTATGTATTGTCAAAGCTACACCCAAAACCACAAATGATATATAAACATTACGAGCAAATCCTCTGCCGAATATCCCCTATAGAATCTGGGAGCTCAAGCTCAAAGTGACCCTCAGATTTTATAGACAACTTTCTTAATAGAACCAAAAATCAACCTATCTGAAAACCACCACATTTTAAACATGTTCTCTCAAAATGGGTGCCAACGCTTGATTCTATAGAGAGGGCGCGCCATGTCATCAGATTTTATAGAGGCCCTAACATGTGATTCTATAGAAAGCACCTGGAATAGTAGAAGGTTGAGAATTGATTTTAGAGTGGATGGTGTGTTGTGAGGTCAGGTAGGTTGCATTTAATTTTATAGTATTGAAAGCATTTTGAGTAATAGAAAGTTGAAAATTGTTTTTTGAGTGGATGGTGTGCTGTGAGGTCAGGTCTAAAAATTAAAAACCAACCTCTTGGGCCACTTTCACCCAACATTTTAATAAAATCAATTTCAACCTTCATATGTCCCCACACTTTCTATAAAATCAAAGCCAACCTTTTGGGCCACATTTGTCAAATATTTGTTTAAAAACAGTTTCAACCTTCATATTTCCCCACACTTCTCTATAGAATCAAAGCCAACCGTGGCTATGCATCATTGTTTTTCCAATTTTTTGTTATCAATTTTTCCTGATGATGTATGAGCACCCATACCCTGAGGCACTTGATTCTATAGAGAACACGTTTCCAGCACTGCAGGAGGTTGATATTTGACTCAATGGTGGGCAGACTGCCCTCGGAGCCTGGCTTTTCGTTTTAAAACTGTAAAGTCAAATCTCAAGTTAGACGGGTAATTCCACCGGGGATGAAAGCAAAATCAACTATATTCTATGTGCACAGGCTTTAGTGATTCAGGAATTACTTTTTTAGATGCTGAAATTTATTTATTTGCATACTAATTATTTTCGCATATTCTATCTGGTGCATCAACGCTATAGGGACTTTTGGCGATTCCGAGATGTTCCAAGTGCAGGAGGAAGCAGCATCAACAAAGCCTGTTCTGGGAAGCAACAGCAAGCAGCAACCGTTTTCGGTAGATGAACTTCAATGATCCACCCATATACAACAGTAATCCCATTCCCCAACCCGATCAATTGGATCCCTATCATCTGGGAGTCAAGACGTTTCAAGGACTCCACATGTTGAGCCAAGGGATCTTACAGTGACACCGTGAAGCATCCGGCCTCTTCCAGGCCCTTCGGGAATTCTTGAGTGAAATGACGCCCATGTGCTTGGCTGTTCAAAGTTGTTCAGCTGGCTCCTGTTTTGCATGTGGTGCGCCGTGTCTTGAGTGAAAACTCTCCAGCTCTCCTATTCTGAGCCTTTTTTGAGTGGTTTGTGTCGGAAATGGTGATATGTAAACCATCAGTCATAAACCCATCAATCTTTCCGGTCCCCTTGTTGAAGGACAACCTTTGCTGGGGTGCTCCACACAGAACTCCTGGCTCGACTCGAATCCCATAGATAATTTAAGCAAACCTGTGAATTGAGCCAAGAGTCTGGTGGCAGGAAACGACTGCACAGAATGGTTTTCTCCAGACCCTCGAGCACTCTCGTCTCAGGGCTGTTGTCATAGGCGCCACAACCTGGTGGTTGTAAGAGTTGTAAGAGTGTAAGCACTGCGTGACCTTGTCCACCCGTATAAGCACTGTTCAGCAGACATGGCTCATCTGCGCAGCACCGAAAGGGCGTTTCAAAGCCCTCAACACGTCAGGTGAAAACCTGCTAGGCTCCTTCTTTGGGCTGGTTTCCAGGCGTAGCAAAACGGTCTGTTTTTTGACGCAGTTCTGAGCACACGCAGTTTCTTGTCATGGTATTCACCGGGTCACATAAACGTATAATCCACCCCCCTCTCAAATCCTCTCAATATCCATTTCCCGGTCTCCAGATTTCATTCCTGGGGAAATTGATGTTACACATTTTTTGTACTTGGAAGCTGTAAGTTTTCTTGATATGATATGATGATTATTCATGTCCCCCACCCCATTTTCATACATTTCCCTGAAAAAGTATGCTTCCTCAGGGCGGTTTTCCCTCCCTTGCTTTCATACATTATCAGGAAAATCAGTTTCCAGACTTTTCAATGATTTCTAGGACTTGTTCGAACCTCTCTGTTCATGCAATGGCTGCAAATGCACAAAACATGTAGATGTGCATAGGTGAGTGTGTCCCGCCCCCCGTGTGCATACATTCGGGTCTTGATTCCCCTGCCTTTCATGCATATCCCAAAGCCGGTGTTTCCAGAAACACCGAGCGAACAAGAAACTTGTAAACTTATATATTTGATACATCCGTTTTCTTTATGTTCAACCCCCCAATCGAAAATGCATTTTCAACATTTGTCCCCCCCATTTGCATACCTTAGAATTAGAACTGACCCCCCATCCCTTTGTAGAGTTCGACCCGGTGATGTCATGGTTGCATGTTTCAGAATGCATTTAGGGGAAACCACAATTATAGTAAGGAATGTGTTCAGGAGTTGGCCAACATCGTGTTTGACACCATTGCGGACATGGGTTCTCCAACACTTTCGATATGTTTTCAGAGATGGTTTCAGAATGCTGAAAGGTCCAGTCTAAGGAAGCTACACCCAGAGTTGGTTCTGTGAGGGCTTGATCCTGCCTCGCGCAAACATCTCCGTGCCAGAATCAAAAAATAGCATCCATTCTTGTGCTGGGGACTGGACAAGATACGGACAGATGTGATTCATATGATCCTTTGGGCGACTGGTGCAGTCGAAGTTTTGGTCCATATGTGTGTCATACAGATCGACATATGTATATTGTATCCACAGGGGACATGGGCTTCGGCAGAGGACTGGTCTCCAAGCAGTGCATGATTGATGCAACTAGGAGCCCAAAAGCCCGTATATAGTATATAGTATTCCAGACGCAAGGCCTTTCAATAGATTCCGGCTGTTGCCGGTGAGCGCGGCAGCATCCCTGCCAAAAGACGCTCAATTATGGGATCAGCAGCCACAAGAACGGAATGGTCAGCAACACATTCCTCCCAGGTTTGTTGCTTTCAAAGGACACTGCTCATGCTGGTGAGCTCTGGTTATTAAAGCGCAAGCTTCTTGTCTAGGAGTGAGTTGGCATTTGTAGTGCTTCTTAGCTTGCATGTGTCTCTCTATTCCGGATTGACCTTAGGTACATACGTGATTAGGCGTGATTAGGTACACTGCTACAGGTGCTCCAGGGACCCGAAAAGAATCCTCTGGAATAGATAGTCTAAGAATCATACACGCATGCCGCATGACTCTAGAATCCGGGGCATGTATCCCGGAATCATACCATAGCCATAGCCATACAGCTGCGCGTTGGCCTTAAAGTGATACTGTATATAAATTGGTGGGTGCAAATCAGCGCCACGTACTTGTGCCATCTCCCAATAGGATTGCAAAGGTGCAAATGACATCACAGATCTGATGGCTTTCGATGTTCCACTCAGCTGATAGCGGAACCCCCAAAAGACAAATGACTTCATGTGGCGAATAACACTTGCTGGTGAACGTGCGATGTTGCCATTGCCTAAGAGATGGACTCGTGCCCGGCGGTTGGGGATTTTCTTGGGCCTATTTGTTTTGAGGGGGCCGTGCTGGGCTGGATTTGAAGATGGCCGGATTCTGCAGCTTCCTTCTGCTTTCGTGCTACAAAGTGACCATCTCTAAGGGTTTGGAGGCTAAAGAGCTGCAATCTCGAGGTCACTTTGAAATCGGATCCTTTTTTGAGCAAGTCCTGCAAATGGAGTGTCCTGGTCCTTTTCTGGCTCGTCTTGCGGATAGTCACAGACCAAGAGCAGCCAGCATGGAAAGGATGCCTCCACAAGGACATTGGCGAAGGGAGCAACCGAACAACTCCTTGAAGATTCAATCCGAAGACAGACCCGGCTTAAGGACACGGTCCATAGATATCCACAAATTCATTTCACATTCTTGGAAATTGAAATATATACGTCTATCACTGTTCTTGGTACAGAATACCTGACGAAACCTCCTCCAACAGATTCTTCACACAGCTTCAGACAGGACAGAAGGGTGACCTCCTCTTCTCTGAGCCTCCAGGGGTCTCCACGGTCGGTTGTGATGTGGAACTGGGGTGCCATGCAGTCCTTGATACAAGGACAAATCATAACTTAGTAGCTTCTTGTTCCTAGTAGTACGGCCAGGAGCCCCGATGCCCTTTGCTCCTAGTAGTATATAACACCTCACTATTCGGGTCGACGATCACTTGTTTTGAGCCACATCTCTACGGGCGTCTATGGCCCAATTGGAGTCTCACTACGTGTATGGTCGTTGGGTCACATGTTTCCATCATCTTAGATCTTTTATGGACGACCCACATGCCGACGAACTCCCAGGCCCTACGAAGCGACGAGCGGCGCGTGACGCAACGCGCGGTTTGGGACGCAATTCGGGTTCTTCAGATATGTATAGAAGTTCTCATGGACACCGACACGACACACGATTTTGTTTTGTATGTTATGTGTGCGGTATGTTTGGGGTAGAACAACGATGATCCAGTTGGCTGCAGAAGGCTTCCAGCGGCCCCCAAGTTGAGCCTGATGACCTGAACAACAAGGAAGACAAATTTGAAGACCTTGGCGGGGAGAGAATAAGGTGTTCTTTCGTACTTTCCCAGCGAGTGTATATAGGCATTGTTGGATTGGAACCTAACAGCTCCAACGCTGAGCTCCACATTTGCTTTTCTGCTGCATGGGGGGCGTCTGAGGGTGCTTCAATCTCCAATGTCTTTTTGAGGCCTTGAGCGATTGGCAGAGTCTGAGCTCGGGAGCCAAGGAGAAGCAAGGAGACATGGTCCATGCCAGAGTCGGGCATAAAACTCCAAGTTATTTGACATGTGACATCGTTTTTACAATTACACCGGCATAGACCGCAGATAGCGGCAGCGGGTGTATAGGTTTAAAGGACACGCCACGGACGGCTGTCACCGCAGCACGCAACACAAGACCAGTCCACCAACATGCGCAACATCTATCAGCAAAATGCGCCTGCTTCGCCCAACACAGACGTAAAGCTGCAAGATCGGCAAGGACCAGCCAAAGCTGTTTATACGACATGCCCTGGAATGACATGATGTCATCCCTGGTGTGAAATGATTGCATTCTGGGCATGATGTGCCCTGGCATGATGTCATTCTGGGCATGATATGATGTCATCCCTGGCATGACATGATGTCATTCTGGGCATGACATGATGTCATCATCCCTGGCATGACCTGATGTCATGCTGGCAGGACGCAAAGCGAAACGCTGATCCAGAGCCAGCGCCAGCGCCAGCACCAGCAAAGCAAAACGCCGATCCAGCACCAGCACCAGCATGGCAGCAGCACCAGCAAAACAAAACCCGATCCACAGCCAGCACCCAGCGCGGCAGCAGCACCTGCAAAACCAAAACGCCGATCCAGAACCAGCACCTCCACCTGCACCAGCATCAGCACGGCAGCAGCGCCCACAAGACCAAAGCGCCGATCCAGCCAGAGCCACACCATTGAGAAGTTGGAACCTATAGCCTGCATCTATCTGAGGAAACAAGAAAGTTTGCCGAAGACAGCAGATTCGGACGATTCGGTTTACAGAAGAATTTCGCGAAGAACCCGAACCCCATCGTCACAATTTAAGCTTGAGTGGGATGTCCTCATGCTGACCTAGAATACTTTTGTGTTCTTGGGCGACTGTTTGCTTATTTGTTCATATACTGTAGATGGTTTTGTTTTGATCTTTGTGCTGTGCTCATGCTTCTTCTTCCAGACATTTTGCTCCCAGCATACCAGAAATTGAGGGGGGACGAGAAACCCACGCAATCCCTAAAGATCTAGGAGCCAAATCATTAGTGCGATCGATTCTTCAAGGCAACTCCCCCCACCGTCAAGTGAGGGGAGCTAACTAGTCGCCCTTACTGCCTTACTTAATTAAGTAGGCGTTCTACTTAATTAAGGAAGGGCGGGCGTGAAAAAACAGCCCTTTTTGATTTGCCACGCCTCTTCCCGACATCGACCTTTGACTCCGATCGACTCCGTTGGACCGAGGTTTGCGGAGGATGAAGAGGACTCCGCCTCGGAGGTTGGTCTCCGATCCGAGGGACCTGTGTGGAGACCACCGGTGTGGATTTCTGTATCGACTGGTGACCAGAGGTCTTTCTTTTCGTTTTTTTTCATGGTTTTGTTGTTGAATCTTTCAGGTGGTGTTCCCTTCACTTCAAAGGAACCGGAGCTGGAGGGATGTCCTATGTGGGGCCTTTGCTTTTCCTCGAGTGTTTGGTTCGATATCAGTTTATGCCGATTGGGTGCACACATGGGATTTCCCTGCATTTCATGTCAGACCATGTCAAACCTGCCCTGAAGTCAAGGAGTAGAAACTGCCAGGATTTACAAACACCTGAAAGTTGACTTGGGTGAAGCACGACCACAAGATCAATTCAGGAAAGGCCTTCCTTAACGCCCATGTGGGATGATTTGATGAGACAAACTCTTTCACAAACTTTGGACCGCCTTGGCGAAGAACAATCAGAACAACTATCAACCAAAAGAACGGCCAACCATGTTCCTTTCTTTGAATGGGGTGCCCGGGCCCCACTCAGAAGGCGCTTTGCTTCTTACGCAGATCCCAGGGCTCTGCGGCCTCGCTGCCCTTGCTGGATGAGGCGATGAAGGGTAGGTCGGGTAGGTGGGTGGAGAAACCGAACCATTTGGAACCAGTTCAACATATGGCTGTGAGTCAAAACCTCCAACAATAGTAGGTGGACCATGTCTGTCTTGTGGAGGATTCTGTTCACATTGGAGTGTCAAGCAGGGCTGTTGGGTTACGAGGACTGAGTGAGACACATCCCAGAACCTGCTGATAGACTCTCAATAGACCTCCAACAAACCAGTGAGACCTCCCAATTTCTTTGGCACTGGCACCGATCCACAAGGAGCTCACTTTCCATTGGTTTCGAGCTATTCAGGAGACCTGGGATTGGATTGATAACACCTTGAAGATTTTTGAAGGTCCACGGTGTTCGCGAACAGGTCAACAAGCCCTTACTCTGAAGCCAGGCAGAGCTGGATGGAGAGATCCTCATCGAGGCGAGCTTTGCGGATGGGGATGGATTTTGAGGCTCCCGGTGGCTGGTGGAAGTTCTCCATAGAAAGCTCGCTACTAGTAACAAGTGCATTGCTACTAGTAACAAGTGCATTACTACTAGTAACAAGAAGCTACTAGTAACAAAGGGCATCGCTACTAGGAGCTAGAGGACGCTACTAGTAGCTCCTGGCATTTCTACTAGTAGCAAGAAACTAGTAACAAGGACGCTATTAGGGAGATTACCCAAGAACCCGGGGCAACCGAAACAATAGACTGAAACCCATCATTGCTTGCCAGTCTCCCTATTCGGATCCATACCCTTGTACGTATACCGTATACCCTTGTACAAGTTACCTGATCATACCTGATGTGTGTAGCTTGGATGCTTCGGTATGCTCTCCAGCGTAGCGATCCACATGTTTCGGGTTGGGCCATGCCGACGTCAGCAGAGACCCGCTTTCTTTTGCTCGGGAAAAGGGACAGGGGGAGGCTAAGAGATGTGTGAGAGAGAGAGGGAGGGAGAGCAGGAGGGAAGCTCTTGCCATTTCGGGGAAGAAGTTGAGGTTTCAAGTTTGGGAGGACCTGGATCATGAGCAACATGTTACATGTTTGTCATCACGAAAGCTATCACCAGCTAGCTGGAGTTGTTCTTGCTCTATATAGCAAGTGAGGGGCTGGAATCCTCGAGAGCGCCGCATCGCGTGAAAACTTCAGCCTCTGGGACGTGTGTATTTCCGCTGGCAGGGGGCTGACTGTTCCTGTGGCGGCAGGATTTGGACCCCTTTCTTGGTCGGATATCACCTGCTTCACCCCTGCCCTGCTAGCTTTCGTCACCAACCCTCGGCCTCAAGTTTGCAGCATCATTGGAATTGAGGATTGAGGTGGTGTAGGTTTTCATTAACGAGGTTCGGCTCCACTTGTCAGAAAAAGACAGGTCAACCCCAGGCCCAGGTACAATATTTACCTAAACAAGTACAACATCTCTTCAATGATGCAGTTGTCCACCACCACTTTGCAGATCTGCTCAAGGAACCTTGCAAACTTGGTGAACTCCCTGTCGAAAGCCTAAGATCGAAACTCGACAGCGCCGAACTTAAGGCTCCTCCCGAGGAGTGGGATGTTGAAATGGCCTTTCCAGTCAGATGCCAAAAATGACCAAGCCTGGAAACTGCGGAACTTTGAGAACACTTCTTCAGTAGGGGGCCTTCCAGGTAACTAATGAGATTTTCTCTTTGGGGAGTCTCAAAATGCGGGGACCTCACAATGCAAACGCGAGTCTGTTTTTCTCTCCAGGAGAATGAGAAGCCCAGGTGAGAAGCCACAGCGATGGGGCGGAGTCCTCTGCGCGCAAATCGATCGGAGGGTACTGAAGGAAGGCATTTGGAAAAGCCACCTGAGACCAGCTCAACCCCTGAGTTGCACTAGTTCCAGTGTTGGTTGTGTGTTCAGCAAGCTTTTTTGATGTTCTCCGAGTTTGTCCCGTGCTTTTGGGATCTCTGAGAGGTCTTGACCTTTCTCCTAGTCCTCGTCTTGCTCCTTGTTTTGAACGTTGATCACCTGTGATATTTTTTGTGTTTGATACGTCAGTCCCCAGTACACTTGCTGGAAGTTCCCTGAAATGCGTAGTAGAACCAGCCCATGCAGTGATTGACTTCACCGCACTTCCCAAGTATCGCCCTTGCGAGGCTTTCTCCTAGTGGGTTCTCACGACTCTTCAGAATCCCGATTTTGATCTCTCGGAGCATCACGTTGGCAGAAAGAAGAAGAAAGCCAAGACGGTCGACCCTGCCGCTCTTGCTGCACACCGCGCCTGGTGTCTCAGATGGGTTGGACCAGCCTAGTAGAGGAAGTCATTGTAGGGGGATATGATATGATCTTTTTTCCCCTTTCTTGATTTGCTTGTGTTGAGTCTGTGTGTGAGTTGGTGTGAGATGAGTGGCTGCCGTCAATCCGCCACCTCACCCATCCCCTTGAGAACGAGCAAAACACAGAGTGAGTGAGTGAGGTGAGGTGAGGTGAGGCGAGGCGAGGCGAGGCGAGGCGAGGCGAGGCGAGGCGAGGCGAGTCAGTGTGACAGTGAGTGTGAGTGTGAGGTTGAGCGTGAGTGAGTGAGTGAGTTGAGTTGAGTTGAGTGTGGGAAGTGAGGTGAGGCGAGTTGGGTGAGTGAGTGAGACCCCAGACAAAGATGTGGGGAATTAGATGGCAAGCCAGATAATGCCCTACTTGGTAGATGTTGGACAATTCGTTGAAGAACTATCTTTGCTAAGCTAGATTTCTGGCAAACTAGATGGTAAACTTGGCATCTGGCAACCAACTAGGTCTTTGGTAAGGTAGATGCCTGGATCCCTCGTTAAGTAAAGATTTGGTGAAGTAGGCCTATGCTAAACTAGACCTGTGAGAAGCAGGTAGATGGTAAACTACTGTACTTGTTTGGCACACCACAATTGAAATAGGCCCCTGGTATAGCTAGCTTTTGGTTGCAGACACAGGCATAGGGCCAAATCTCGCTGTTGACTTCAGTGCGCATGATATTGCAAGTGCACACAAAGTGTACTCGCACAGCGGCCCGGACCCCCCAAAAGTATCCCACAAAAAATGTGTTCTTGTCCTTTTGTGTTTCTTACAAATCCGGCCGAATCGGGCAATGTTTACTCATATATCCTATACATTCCTATACTATATACTACATATATCTACATATAATATCCTTATTCGGATTATATTCGTGCAGGTTTTGGACTGTTCTTTCGCCCGTGCTTTGTTTTGGAGGTTTGGAAACGCCTGCGGGCTGAACGCAAGGCTGTCCGGGAACTCAGGAGGCGTCCTAGGGCCGATAGGGTTGGAGCGGATTGAGTGCTTCCTCCAAACGAACTTTGTCAGATTTCTGGGTGGGGCGAAATGCCACAGACTGTTCATGCAGAAAGAAAAAGAGCTACAGCTACAGAGCTCACAAATCCGCGATCAAGCGGAGGATGCGTTCATGCATGGTTCCCAGCTAGCTGGTGAAATACCTTGTCTACGAAAGAGCCTTCCAATCGGCAGATTGGGTGCAGTACCTTTGCTTTGAGCCAAGGGCCCAGTGTGACCAAACTCAACCAGCTGATTTGGGCCCAGCTCATTCTTCACAAACGCTCAGGCTAAGAAGGCAAAGCGGAGGGAGGAAGCCAAGGCAGGGAGAGACCTCGGCATCAATCGAACACATGAAAAAGGGTGTCACGCTGATTGTATCAAAAGAGCACTGCTGCAGGGACCCCCTGGTAGAGGTAGATGAACTGAAAGATATTGAAAGATAAGGCAGATTACTGCAGGTGAAAACTATTGGTAGGTTTTGAGGCAGGCTGCTCATCATGATCTTTTTGCTCCAAAAACAAGGCTCTAGGCGTTCTGCATAATTCCCAGAATGAGTGATCCACTGTTTGCATCCGCCCTAAAGCCGGAATTTCACCCTGAAACCTTGGACCCCTGCGTGCTGCTAGGTGATGATCGGATTTTTATGGAACCGTGTGTGGTGTTAGGTGCTGTGATCGGACTGTGGCACCCTGGGCTATCCCTTTATTGTGGGAACCTGACTGCGGCTAGGTGGTGTGACCAGACGCGCCGGCTGTTAGGTGCTGTGATCGCAGATGCGCACAGCCAAAATTGGTTGGTTTGCCATCAGTCTGCTTGCTCCTAGTAGCGATGCCCTTTGTTCTTATATAGTAGCGTCCTTGCTCCTAGTAGCAATGCCAGGAGCTACTGGTAGCTTCTTGCTGGTACGAAACCATGAGTCAACTTCAACATGTCAACTGGAGACGCGCCGAATCGCGCCTTATTTTCGTTCGGCCCCTGACATCAACGCTCCTCTGCCAGCTCCCGTCTCCGCTTCGGCCCAACTGCTGTGCCTTGGCTCAGGGGCAACTCTTTCAAAAACAACACTCTTTCGCCAGTTTGTTGGGCTCTTTTGTATCGAACGTGATGCGGACAGCTGTCAGGGCAGATGCCTCCCAAACCTGCAGAAACGTGCCTTTGTGCCGGACATAGTTGTTGCGCGCGCTTGTGGTGTGCTTCTGTCTCCGTTGCCGTTGCGGAGCATCCTGTTTTACAGAGCACAATATATCAAAGCAACAGGTGTTTGCGCATACCCACAGCACGCTTCTTTGTCAGGAACAATTTTTGCACTTCTGATGTGCTTTTCTCTGCAGTGGAAAGCAGCTCCTGCTGCGCAGCAGACAAACATATGCATGTATTCGAGCAACAGGCTCGTGCAACAACCGTTTTGCAGTTCTGATGTGCTTTCTGTCTTCATGTTCCCCAACTCCTGCCCCCCAGTTCCTGCTCCTGTTCTTTCTCCCCAACTCCTTCTCACCAGCTCCATGTGCATTCGGCAAACTGATTCAGATTCAGACTTGGAGCTTTAAAGCGAACCCGTGTTGCACATAGAAAACGTATAAACACGTTGCAGTGTTTGGTGTTTGGAATCGCCAATTGATGTTAAGGGGTTTCCATTACGCATCCCTTTCCCGTCCTGGCATGTTGTTTTGTTTTCCTGACGTTCCGTTGGTCACTTGGCTGGTGACTACCTCGCAAGGAGTTGGCGGGGTTGAACTTTGGGATTTTCTTCAGGGATGGCTACTGTCGATGTCAAAGAGAAGGACTACGGGAAGGGAAGGTACGACTTTACAGCGGGGCCAACACAAAAAAATAGGAGTTATTGCACATGGAGTTGCTAAAACAGGCGGTCTAACAAGGGATCCTCGCAGGCTCGGAAGCGTCGGGGCTATGGTGCCGACTTGGAGGCCGGTCGGTTCGATCATGTATGTTTCGCCATGAGACACTGGACTCAACATGACAGAACTGCTACCAAAGTCGAGCGTGACCTAATCTTTTTTGAAAAGCTCTCCTCAGGGGCTGCATCCGTTCAGCCCACTACAGGGCTTCTTGGTGAAGACCCAGGAACGTTTGGAGCAGCGGGCTGCGGAGGCCGAGGTGCCTTGGTCCGTGGGAAATTGCCGAAATCAAAGGGCCCAGAAGTTCAGGTCCACGGTCTTCATTTGTCAGGTCTTGGAATCATTTTAGGGTTTTGTATTGAGGCTTAGGAGATGGTTTTGAAGGGGTTGGGATTGCGGGATGGCCCAAGATGTTACTTTGGTATGTTTTGGTTGTAAACATCCTCTTGGTTGTCGTCCTTCTTGTGCCCTTGTTTAGGGCATGGAACCCTGGGCAAGAGATGCTAACAAAGTGCGCGTGAGGCAGCTATTGCACAGCAGGAGGCTAACAGATATTTGGAACTGAAGGGGAGACACCATTCTTTTCTGAATGGATGAGCGGAAGTTTGTGATGAACTCAGCGGCCTTTGAGCCTAGGCCGCGGCCCTCCTGATGGCGCAGACTGCGCAAACATCGGCACCTGTGGCTCGTGCCACAGGTGGGGGCTGGCAAACCATTCAGCGTGCCCTTTCTGCGGCTAGGGACTGGAGTCGGAAACCTTCTACTTCTTTGCAAACGATTGAATCGACGGAACCAAACTTTGCTATTTTGCTGAAGCCGAGCCGGCTGTGGTTGGAATGTATGGAATGTGGGGAGTTCAGGTCTTGTTGAGTTTGATGGCTGGGTTGGTGCAGGCTCGGATCTGCGGTCTTTCATCTTAAAGACGCGTGAGCGCTTGGCTGAGCAGGCAGGACTGGGGACTCCGTTGACCACGAGCCTCGGTTGATCCCCAAATTAGGGCGTTCATTCGCCAAACTTTAAACTTGTTGGGGTAAAGACCTGGTTGCGGTGAAACTCAGGCGTTTCGAGGGAAGATGTTTGCAGATGGTTTTGGGACAAGGATTTGGGGCCGAATGCCCGAGAAGTGCTATGCCATGCCTTCTTGGAACCTTGAACTCTCAAACATCTCTGGCGACATTCTGAGGCAGCAGTGGCAAAAGCCGCCCAACGGGCCAAAGAAGCCAAGGCCGAGTGGGTTGGAGTGGGTCGTTTGAGTGGGTTGCTCGGTCGGAAGATGGGCATGGGCTTCGCTCCGCATGTGCCCAAGCCGCTGCGGAAGGGAAGAAACCTGTTAGGTGTTGCTACAGTGCTTGAGCGAACTTGTTGAGGGTCTACACTTCCTACGATTCGCTGTTTCTCACCTCAAGCCTAAGGCGGCAGCCCTTGCAGCCAGTGTGGACTTGGACACCTTCCGGAAGGAGTGTCAGGCGGAGTGGACCATGGGCTAGCTAGTTTGATGACCAAAGGAGTGCGACCTTTGTCCATGTGACCTAGTTTTCCGGGTAGATGGGCCTGGATGTGTAGATTGGTTTGTTTGGTTTCCTTGTGTGTAATTATTCAATGTTATATTATATGTAGTATATACTATATACTGTGCTTGTACATACATATTTAATGCACGTATATAATAATTTAGTATATTATACTAACATTATATATATATAAATAATTGAGTATATTATACTAACATTATATATATATATATTGTACAGTATACTGCAAGTAAAGTCGTCTATTTTGCAGGCACTGATTGCATGGTGCCCCTGTTTTGTCTGGTGCCCTACAATCAGGATGTGAGTCGTGAGTCATGCATTTCATGCCGAGATTCTTGACCCCTAGCCCTAATCCAAGCGTGGTGATGGACGAATGCCAAGTCAACCTTGTTCACCCTTTCTCGATCCTCTGGTTCAACGCAAGCACAGGGTGATTTAATCGAATCTCTCGACCAAAGGAATCATCACCAGTTTTGACCAACTCTATGGATTGAGCCACCTCAGAAGGTCCTCCAATCACCCAGCCCATTCACATGCCAAATCATCCTTTCAGAGTGTATGTCCATCCCAAGGCAATGTGTCTTTTCTGAACATCTCGGATGCTGCGATCACAGGCACGCATTGCCCAAAAGCTTTTGTCCAAGATACCGCAGGTGAGGCGCTGAGCTCTTACACGTGAGGCGTTCTACCGCGGACCGTAGAGTCCCGAGCGCTCCAAGGATTTACCTACCGGGAGGACCTGGTAAATGGGTCCAAGTGCCTGTCATTATAGGGTCATGTCACATGCTCCATTTTCCTAGAGCAGTTTGCTTGGAGGGTCCAGGTAATTTGATTGACGGATGTGTTTGTTTGGTTGACCCGATGCGTGTGTTGGTCCCAAGCAGACGATTGACTGCTTATCAAGGAGCCCGAAGACCAAGGTTTTGGCACCAGGGATGGACTTTGGCCATTCTCAGCCTGAGCAAGAGCCCGGTAGCAGCTGTTGCACCAAACGAAGCGGAGCAGGGTGCGGTGAGCGTTCCTCTCAGAGATGAAACGGTCAGACGTTGCAGCGATCCACGAGGTGAGAACGGGCCAAGTGACTGGAAGCGAGGAGGGGTTGGGGGAAGGCTTGAGGAAGACAAGACGCTTGTGATTTCTTGAGTTGCACTCCAGCTCACATCTCTGGGAGACTAGGTTCCTTTACTGTTCTTGCCATGGTATTGCAATCGATGTGGGGGTGAGAGGACCACCCGACAAAAAGCAATGTTGTAAGTTCCTTGAGCCATTACAGAAAGATCCAATCATTTTGATGAAGATTGACACCAGATTTCATGTGACTTTCACGTGCTTTCACTACAGTCATGTGAATTCATGTGATCCAAGAACTTGCCAGGAGAGCCTCTTCCAAAGGCGAAAGATTGCTATCGTTGGGGTTTCTTGGTCGAAGGAGCTGAAGGAATAAACATATGTTTACTGTAGTTTCCCTAAAAATCTAGGAACCAAATGAATAGCGCGGGCGCTTCTTCAAGCGTTAGTAGCCAGGACCGAACAAGTTTGTTCCTTGCTTAATGA